AGGAAACTCCTTACTGTTTTCTACAGTGGCTGTACTAATTTACATTACCACCAATCACACTTAAAGATTCTTTTAGCATCTATTATTTGTTGCTTTGACAATGTCTGTTGTATCTAGGGTACAATGTTATCTCACTGTACGTTTCATTTTTCATTGTGGTTTTCATACTGGTAATATTTGGTATATTTATTGCCTATTTTTATTTCATGAAGAATGTACTAATATCTTTGAATTCTCTATTTTTAAGTTTTTGAGTTCTATAAATTAATCTTTTATCAGATGAATAACTGACCAATATTTTCTAGGTTATCTCTTTCCTCTGTTATTTCCTTTGCTGTACAGATGATTTTTAATTGGATGTAAGACCACTTATCAATTCTTGCTTTTGTTTGCTATGCATTTGGGGTCTTGACCGGAAAATCACTGTGCACTAAAATCTTACGTTGTCCTGTAGTAGTTTCAGTCTTACATTAAGACCTCTGATTAATTTTGCATGAACTTTTCTACAAATCTTGTACATGTGGACATCTGCTTTTCTACCACCACTCGTTTAAAAAGAAGATTATCCTTTGTTTAATGCATTCTTTTGATATTTTGTTAAGAATCGGTTATAGTTTAATGAAATTTTGTGTCCTCTGCTCCACTGGTCTATGCATCTGTGTTTATTTTACCGCAGTAATATGCTATTTGAGTAAGTATATATCAATTTTTAAATCAAGTTTTGTGACACCTACACAATCCTTCTTTGCTCAGTGTGCTTTGTCCTTTGTGAGTCTTTTGTTCTGCATGAGTTTTAGGATTTTTCCAAGTTCTATGAGAAATGTGGCTAGTATTTTAATGGAAATTACATTGAATTGGCATATTACTTTGGGTAGTATGGACATTTCAACAACATTAATACTTCCATCCATGAACTGGCATGGCTGGGTTGTATGTAGCCTTTCAATCTTTTGGTCTCTTCCTTAATTGCTTTTTTCATTGTTTTGCAGTTTCCATTGTTAATGTCTTTACTTCCTTAAGTTCATTCATAGGTTTTGTTGCTTGCTTTCGGTTTCTGTCGCTATTATAAAGGGATTGTTTTTATAATTTCCTCCTCACTAAATCTGTTATAAGTGTATAGAAAAGCTACTAAATATTGTACGCTGAGTTTGTATCCTGCCACTTTATTAAATTTTATTATTAGTCCTCTTGGTTGAATTTTTATATTTTCCTATGTATAGAATCATATCTTCTGCAAGCAGGGACATTACTATATCCTTTTTTCCCTATTTTTATGAATTTTATCCTTTCTCTTGCCTAAATACTTCTAGTAAAATTTCTAGTACTACATTGAATAAGAATAGAGAATGTGAATCTCTGGCCTTGTTTCTGATTTTAGAAGAAAGTTTTTCAGTTTTTCCTCATTTAATATGAAGCTGGCCGTGGCTGTGTTGTATGTAGCCTTAATGATGATAAGGCACAATCTTTGTACACTGCAAGCTATACAAAAAGGAGATACGTGGATTTTTTCAAATGATTTTTTGCATCTATTGAGATAATTATATGGTTACACAGTTTTTATTCACTTATATCACTGATTCTATTATTTGATATATTTATCCACATTATATGTTTAATTATCCTTGTGTCTCCTGAAATAATAGCAACTTGATTATGTTGTACATTTTTGGTGTATCTTTAATTAGCAAAAGTTTTACTGGGGATTTTTGCAACTATGTTTATCAGGGATATTGGCCCATTTTTAATTGTGTCTTTGTAAAGGTTTGGTAACAGGACAATTTTGTTTTCACAGAAAGAGTTTTGAAGATTTTTTAATTCTTAGAAAAAACTTGAGAAGTATTGTTGTGGATTCTTCTTTAAAAGTTTGTGGAAATTCAGCAGTGAATGCATCTAGTCCTGGACTTTCCTTTGAAGAAATACTTTAAATGCTGATTACATTTCATTCTTTGTTGTTGGTTTATTTAGGGATTTTTATATATGTCCTTTTGGTGTTATGTTAGCATATCATATGTGTCCATAATTTTTTTGCCATTCTTTCTAGATTTTTAAATTTGCAAATAATACTTAAGGATTCTTTGAACGTCTGTGTTGTCAGTTTTACTGTCTCATTCATCTAATTTTGGGTATGATTTTTGTTACTTTCCTCGGGCCCTGAAATGTATCTATTTTTTTGACAGACCTGAAATAAACTCGTTACTATAAACTTTCTCTTACTATTGGCTTTGCTGTATCCTGAAGATTATGATATGCTCGCTGCTGCATTTTCGTTTGTTTCCCAGAAATTCTGAGTTTTCCTTTGTCTTCTTTAATGACTCATTGTTCAAAAGTGTATTTTTAATCTCAGTGTTTTTACATACTTTCTATAGCATTTCCTGCTAGTGATTTCAAGTTTCATTCCATTGTTATTAAAAATTACAAGATATAATTTCAATCTTCTTGACCTTCTTGAGACTTTTGGAGCCTAAAATGTGGCCTAATGTAGAAAAGACTTCATATATGATGATGAAAAGGTGTGTGTTATGCAGCTGTGGATGAAATGTTCTGAAAAAACCGGTTAACTCTTGTTCATCTGCAGCACATTTTAACTCTGATCCTTCTTTGCTGATTCTTGGTGTGGACGATCTATCTATTGGTGAGTGAAGGTCTCAGTTTCCCTACTGTTACTGTATTGGAGCCTATTTCTCTCTTTATATCCAGTAGTGTTTCATTATAACATTGGAGACTCCAATATTAAGTGCAAACTGATTTTTATTATATCTTCTTGGTGAATTGATTCCTTCATCACTATATAGTGACTTTCTTTTTCTTCTGTTATTGTTTTTATGTCCCAAAGTATATTCTGTAAGCTATATGAATGAGCAAGAGAGAACGGTCAGCATTGCTCAAAGTATCTCCCTAGAGCACCTTCAGCTCTGGGCCTATTGGTGCGGCCACAGCCTAAGCCTCAGCAGTGTAACCTGAGTCAGCTGTGCTTCTTTGGAGGGCCAGCCGTGGAGCCCCAGTTTATTCTCTGACTCACAAGCTTCAGGAGTGTGTGTGTGTATAGGAGCTGTGCGGGCAGCCGCCTTCCGTTCTGGAGCCTGTGTGAAACCACAGCTAAGTGGCCATGGCCAGGCCTGAGCCCGCAGGCTTGCCCTTCCCTGTCTCACCCTCCACTCCCCTCTGGACTGCAACGTCTGTTTCTCACATGACAACATATAGTGAGCTCCTATCAGAAGCCACCGAGCAGCAGCTGGTCTGTGAGACAGGGATCTCACAGTGGCATGTCTTTGGGGGTCTCAGAAATGGAACACACAGGGGTTTCTGAGGCCCCAGATTAGTCCAAATTCAGACAAAAGCCCACTTCTCACCATGATTCCTGGCTACAACACCTTGTGATTTTCCCAGGAGTGAAGTAAGCTTCATTTGCAAAGCCAGACTACCAGGTAAGTAGTAAAGCCACCGTGGCCACAAAACTTTGCGAAGGGCAGGATTGCCAGCGACCGTGCTGAGAGTTGGCCGGGACTCTCTCTTGTGGTTGAGAGCTTCTTTCTCTCCAGGTCTCGGAACTAGGGCAGCAGGTGACAGAGGCTGTGTTTCTCTGCCTGTGCTATTTACCCAGGTGTCCAGCTTACAAGATCTCTACTTTGCACTGCTGAATCCCGGGTTGTCCCACACTCACTCACCCAGTACCCAGCTGCACGCCTGTTGCTTTAGTTTTGCGTGGAGGGTCACGTTATGCAGCCATCATGCCAATCTCCTCAAATTTAAAGTTTTACAAGTGGTTCTACTATATATATATATGTACTCCAGTATTTCCTCATCGTCTTATGAATTTGATAAGGATAAAATATAAATGTCTGATTTGAGCAGAACTTCTGAGAATAAATGACCATCACTAGAATTTCAGGATCTCATTTAACAAAATGCAGTCAATAAAAGAAACATGCCCAATACTTTAAAAAGCAATGGTTTATTTGGATTGTTATTCTGTTCCTATACAAAGCCTCCTTTCTCCCTGTGTCTCCATATATACGTGTATCTATAAAATCTTGTCACGCTGTCTTCTGAGACTCAAAGAACTCATTGCTTTAAACACCAGGATAAACTAATATCAATAAAATATTTTCAAACTGTGCAAATTGCCTATGGTTGCTACTTCCATTGATAAATTTTATTTCACAATACTTTTCACAGGATAATTATCCTTATTGTTTCTGTATTTCTATATCAGTAATAAATATATGTCTGATATGATGAAAATTGTAAAATAAATGCAAACTGACAAGATGCAAAATCAAATAGAAAGTGACATTTAATAGATGATGATTTATTTTATTTTACTTTATTATTATTTTTTTATTGGTATTGGGGATCGAACCCACGACTGCCTGCTTGTAAGGCAGGCGCTTATGCTGCTGAGCTAAAGCCCCAGCCCCTGATGATTTATTTTAAATATATGAGATTGACATCATCATCTGAGAAATTCTGAAATAATGCTTTTATGACCAGTTAAATATTTTCTGTTTTCTCAATTAAAAGAAGAAAAGTCTGCTCTGGTTCAATATGCTTACTATGCTTGTTTTACTTGTAATATCTTATTCTATACTTTTCTCATACAAATATAATTATCCTGTTTCTATTCTAAAATAAATATCCTGTCCATAGGAAACTTTTACCATGAAGGTAGAGACTTTCTTGTTCATTTTCTCTATTCATTAGGAGTAAATATTATAAATATGAAGCAGAAATTTATTTTTAAGAAATTACATTATAATTTGCAAAGTACAACATTATCTAAGGAACTAAACTGTTAAATATAAGTGAATTTAAGGAAGACATTTTTCTCTAATAGGCTTAGAACTCTTCTTTATATTAAGTGATAAAAGTAATATCTAATTTAAATAATAGTATTGATAGAATATATTTATATCTGGTTTGTTATAACCCAGAGGCATTAAAAAGAAGCAAAATTTTAATAATTTACCAAATGCTAGAAAGAATAAAGGGAAGAAACTTACATGATCAATTAGTTCACGAACCATTCCATTCCACTGTCCATTGGCATCGTCCTGGGCTCCATATTTCCCATCCTCCACCAGTCTAATTTCATATGTAAAGCCAAGGATTGTAGATAACTCTCTGAGGAGATCAATACAATAACCCTCAAATCGATCATTCCCGTAGAGAGGTTTGTCAGACTTCTTAAACAGGACATAAGGTTCTTCCTGGAAACGTCAAATAGGAACAAAGAAATATTAATTAAATTAAATATGAAATTTCATATAAAAAGCTTTTTAAAGAAAATTTTCTATTAATTTAGATTAAGAAGAGATATTCAGATTTAGCGAATATTTATTCATCATAAAATATGCCATTAGTACATATTAAAATATAAAATGCATAGTGTAAAATATACACTATTTAATATTATATAGCATTTAACCAATACATTGAATATAGTATATTATAAATAATATGATGTAACATACTACACAATACGTAATTTCACCATAATTAAAATATTCTCATTTGAGTCAGAAATTTAGTCAATATTTGGCAAACTCTTTCAGTGGGATCTATGGATGAAGTGAGCCAAAAGTCTTCATTGCCTAATTGTCTACTGTGTGCTAAGAATTGATACATTATCATATTTATTGACATTATCATATTTTGTCCTAAAACCCATGCAAATTATAACTATTATATACAATAAGAGGAAAAAAGTAGCTACTTTAAAATATAAACATTATGAAATGCTTCTGTTTATCCATCATTGTTGTACACAGGATTTACTGTGAGCCAGCCCCCTCCTCTCTATAAAAGAGAAACTCCAGAGCTGTGAAGTTCATGATATAGAAAAGGAACCATAATAAATGCCGAAACAAACAGCACCTATAATGTAGATGTTAAGTGATAAAAAACACAGCATAGTTCAACAGGGTAGAAAACAATTTCAAGATACTGATAAGAGAAGACAGGAGAAAATTGGATAACACTATATATCTGGAAATCTTTTCTGAGCAGCAAAAGATAAAGTAGACTCTAAACGTGAGAATTTAGCCATTTGAAAATCTGTAAAAAGAACACATCACATCAAAGACACAAATAAAAGTCTCTTTCTGAAGCAGTTTAGGAAGTGCCCTTTGGGAGCATCTTTAGTTATGCTGTTGTGGTTGTCTCAATGTTCTGAATAAATTCAACATTTACCTTTCATGGTCATTTTGCCCTTGGAAAAAGTCCAGCAGTTGGAGAATAAAGTGGACATAAGTCACACCATCATGTGTCTGCCTTTCTGTTGGCTGACACTCAATAGTAGCATTCACAATATGTTTGCACATATCTCCTAAAGAGGTCTTCTAGAACTGCTTCAGAAAGTGCCGAGAATGACAGTAAAATGTGTTCAAGGAAGCAGGAGCATTATGAAGGTGATTAATTGCAATGTGCCTTTTACTGAGATTAATTTTGTTAATTTAAACACTCAACTTGTATTTTGATCACACAGTATCTGTTAACTCTATCAACTTCCTACTTTGGCTTTAGTCGGCTTATTATAATTTATTGCCAAAAATGAATGCATGGCTTTTTATTTAAAAGGTACAAAAACTGACAAATTATTAACTTTCATATGCTATGCAAGAAATAAAATTAACATTTTCCAAGCACTTAAATTTTGGCAGGCCCTGTTTTGAATGTTTTTACTTCAATTAGTTTATTTCTCATAACAATGATGTGAAATCAGCACTATTAATTCCATTCACAATAAAAATAGACTGAAATAAAAGCATTAAGTATTCTTTGCCCAAGATCAACACCCAGTTAAAAAAAAAAAAAAAAAACCCAGGTACTCAATCTGTGGGACCACTTACCACCACAATATGTCTTGCCAATTAAATAATTTTGAGTGATCATTTCCAAAGTTTATGTGATCACATACGATTGCATGTCATCATTATACAATTGCATGCATGTTTTATGGCTTTATAATTGTAATCACCTGGGACTAGCTAGTAGGCACATAAATTATTTACTAATTGAATCACACAATCAAGACATCATACAGGAGAATAAAAGTAATTACATCACTCAGAAAATATATTTCCTGCATGACACACTACCTGCTCTCTAAATAAGAATACATCTTTTAAACATAAAAATACTTTAAGAATTTTTAAAAATAGCATATATTAAGTCAATCAGATTCAGGGAGTAATATATGAATAAAGCTTTGTTTTGTTGAAATTATTAAATTATTTCAGCTTCTATTCAAATTATTAAAACAGGATTGTCTCTAAAGCATTTATTGCAAAAAATACTGGTGACATATTTTACACATGTAAAGTTCATACTAAGAAAAAATATATGATAAAAGTTAATGGCTACCTAACAGTACGTGAGGAGTTATTTGAAGGATATGTGTTACCAAGAATGGGAACACAGCAAAACATTTTTAAATGCCATTATGTTATTTAAATCTTCTTAGTCAAACTTGGCCAATTAGCTATCTTACCTATTACCTATTAACTTTTTTTGCTTTATCTAAAAGCTTAAAATAAAACTTCCATTACAGGCAAATAAATTTATTGATTCTGTAAGATTAAAAACAACTACTTAGCTCCATGTCTTAAACAGCTTTGAAAATCAGAGAAAAAAAATATATATCATCTGAGTACCTCTTTTTAGTATTTATGGATCTCCACAAAGTATTACTATTCTCATAAATGCTGATAAGACAGTCTTCCAACTGTGATTCCCATCTTTAGCTACAATGTGTCACAGATAGTTTTATATCAAGGTGTGACTCTGTTTTAAACTCTCTTTCTGTGTTTCCCATGACATAAGGGTAAATAATAACCTCATGTATGAAAAAGAAAAATGGTAGCAGAAGAAATTACTGTATCACTGACTGAGTTCAATGAATAATATGATAAAACTCTCCTGGGCAACTCCAGGTTTCTCAGACAGTCCTAAATCTGTACATCAGCATTGCTAGAGGTAAAGGCAATTCATTCTATGGCATCAGTAATGAGAAGTTTTCAGCATTTCCACTATTGACCCCAGTTTTAGGAAGCCCACCAATAACTCATGTATTTTTATATGCATTAGACTTCAGGTGCAACAGAAAAATATAAAATGAAGTTCTGAAAAAGTGAAATATGCTTAGAGGTTGAGAGGAATGGAATGTTTTATTTAAATATAATAAAACTTTTAATATTTTTAGAGAATATAACTCATGTATCCTTCAGCACTTATGTGGAACTCAATTACGTGCTTTTATTTGTAAGTCTTAAGGTACCACTGTCTTTCATATTCAGGGAATAGGGACATAGAAATGCAAATTAATTTCAATATGATGCATGTAAGATCTGGTAGGACTAAACTAATTAATGTATTTATTCAAACTATATTGAACTACCACTCTGTTCTAGCAGTCTTCCAGAGGATGGGTCACCTGTGAGAACAATAATATAAAACTCTCTCTGGGGATGATTCTAGAGTTCTTACATATTACATACTATCCAGTATTACTTGTTTGTCCACATTGCTTCATTAAGGATTAGATGTGCAATATTTCCATAGAGCGCATTTTTGAAAACAAGGTGATTATTTTAGAGAATAGAGTCCTGTTTTAGAGAATTCTGAAGAAGCACAAAACATACACGATGCTACAATTCTCAAATTATTGGGAAAATAGAAAGAGACACTCAGGTAGCCCTAGTCTGGTTGTGAATTTATTTTTATGACCAAATACATTTTAAAATCTGTGTCCATTGATGAAGATTGATTTGCATGTGAATATCAAAGTATTCACAAAGTATTATTACCTGTCCTTAATGTTTTTCTAAGGATTGGGCTAGCCAACAAAAAACAATGAAACAAAAAAAATTATTTATGAGAAATAGTATTCTTATTAATCAAATGAAAAATTCATGATGGTTGCAATAATATCAAAGTTACAGGGATTAAAAATGAGCAGTTTTGCTTTCCCAAGAATCATTCATTTCCTTCTATCTTCTCAGCCTTCTTTCTGTCCATAGTCTCTGTGTCCAGTCACTGGCCTTACACTGACAACAATGAGCATAAAGAGCAGCAGGGAAATCTCACTTGGAAAGGCTGCAGAAATCAAAGTAGGCATCAGAGTGGAAAGTTGTTTGGATGCAGAAGTGGGACGATGGGCAGCACGGAGGTGGAAGGACAGAACTGCTGAGGGCACAGGAGACAGAGATGAAAAGGCTTTACCTTAGACAGCAGCACTAAGGAGACGGCACAAAACCTGCTCCTCTGGGCTCCCCGCCTAGCGCTCTACCTGAAGTCTTCTAGCACCTTTTCTGTTATACTTTCTCCACGCAAACACTAAGGCTAAACACTGAACACTCTTCTTTACTAGATGAAGTCATAAATGATGAGTTACTTTTCGCAGCCCTGTTTTTAATCCTGAGTAATATAATTATTTCCTTTAAGGCAACCAACAATCTTATTGCACTAAACTTTTTATGAGTTAGTTTAATTTGATTATCTATAAAAGACATTCTTGCATCATAAAAATATTGAAGAAATCTCAGTAATGTTGAGAAGGACATGCCAGCAGAATAAGGGAAGATTTTCAGCAAAGATAAGTTTTCTTCAACAAATAAATTGCCAGCTCACTGTAACTATCTGACACTGGCCTGTCCCACACACAGAGTAATAATTCACACTTACGAGTGGGCTTAGAATCCATAATGTATGATGTGATCAGGAAGAGGAAAATCAGCTTATGATTCTAAGGATGATCCATGAGATTAACACATCATCAGCTGGCATGTTTATAGACTTTAACCATCTAGTCCAGTGTGGAATAGTGACATACAAATAAAAAATGGGAAATTCTAAGGGTGATCAATAAATTACCATCTCCATCTAGAATTTTTACAATTCAGATTTTTCATTTGAAGTTTAACAAGATGCATGTAGATATCTACATTTTATAACTTTACTCTAAAACATAATTAAAATGCTTTTGGTGTGTTCTCTATTAATCCAAATATCCTTCCATCTATGTATTAAAATCAAATATACTTATGTAAATTCTCTACAGACACTTTTAAGACAGAAGTCAAAAAATTTTCTCTTAAAATGACTAAATATTTTTGGCTTTTGGTCAATACAGTGATTACACAGTGAAAACAGTAATGAAGGAGCTGGAAAGCCCAGTCAGGAGCATTGCGTGAGTAACTGGAATCTAATG